CTTCCGGTTTTTTCGAAGGGTCATTTTTAGTCCTCCAGAGGCTTCAGGGAAGCCTCCTGAAGGTCCTTGAAGCCTCCAGAGGGCTTAAACCGACCCTTCGAGCAAACCAGAAGTCCATTCCCGAACTTCCGGTTTGCCCATAGGGCCAGTTTTTTGTGCTCCGGAGGAAAGCTCCTGAAGCCTCCGGAGGGCCTCCGGGTGAAGCAGGGGAGGCTCTTTTCACCCTCCCCAGGTTCCTATAAAGCCTCTGGAGCCTGGGGAGGGCGAAAAATGTCTTTAAAAAAGGCTGAACTCAGCTGCTGACAGGGCAATGCCCTGACAAATGGTTCCACGTGCCACCTGTGGCATGCGTGCCATAGGTTCGCCATCCTGGTTCTACAGGGTTCCATTCTTTTTCATTACTGTTTAATATCTATATAAAGCTCTTGGGGGAGTAATAAGGTGCTGGAATTAAGGTATGATAATAATTGATGCTACTCATCTCTATACATTAACATCATCTGAATCAGAGCCCCTTGACAGGTGTCTGAATGCTATAGTGGCCTGGATGAGGCTCCAAAAACCATAAGGTAGGACTGCAGAGAGACATGCAGAGAATGACCATTGGCTTAGCTGAAGGGTCCTTTTCTGTGCACTGCGGGAGAGTCCAAGCGACGGGTTAAATCAGTCTGGTTGCCCTGGGACTGAGGAATCTTTTTCCTTGGCCACGCCTGCATGTGGGCAGATAACTCAGATACCTGAGCTATGGCAGAGTCCGAACCAACGGGGTCCCTGGCAGGAGGAGGAACATGCTGGGCAAGGATGGGATCAGCGAGCCCTCCAGGGTTAGGGTCCTCGGGGGCGGGCCCTGACTCAGAAACACATGAAAAAGCAGGAGAGCTCGGTTCAGCCAGAGACCTCTCCGGGGAGAGCTCCTGGGAGTCCACTTCCTCACCAATTATGGACAGGCGATCCCCCCATGGAAGTGGTGGAATGACTGTCCCAACAGGAGGGGTAGGCTGAGAGCACTCCCTCACAGCCTGGCGTTGAGCCTTCTCGAATTGTTTTTCGAGAGCCTGCTGCCGCCTCTCTGCATCCCTGGTCGCCGCCATGGAAGGTGCCTTATAAGGATGGCTATCCTGACTGGCCACCCTGCCCTTCCTTACCCCCTTACCCCTGCCTGCAGAAGTTCCCTTGCTAGGGGCTTGAGAGGGANTATCATTAAATATTGTCCTAGATGTCTAATGTTTATTTTCCTAGCATAATTTGGGATTGAGGGAAAAGTCCTATAAATCTTATTAATAAATCATTGTTTAAAGACAGCTATAAAGCTATAATATTGTGTGGGCCTGGAGAGGAGAAGTGAGATAAACAGCAAATAACTCTTAGTTAACTACAATAATAACAATGAAATGTTAATGGACAATATTTAATGATACATACAGGTGTGTTACAGGGAGGGGGGGATGCTTAGATATCTTACTTAAGCTAATTAATTTTAGAATATGTTATAAAGGTGCAATGTTATTGGAGATCTATTGAAATTGCAAATGAATGCCAGTAGGTGGTTGTGTCTTTTAATATAAATGATTCTAGATAAAAACATGTTGAAACAATGGAAACCAAATGAGAATTATGGTACGGGGATAGTAAAATACATAACTTTTCTTTCTTGACTTAAAATGTACAACCTGATTTGAATGAAGCGTATGTTAGGATTATGGAAGAAACGCACGGAATGTATTTGTAACCAATCGATACGCTTTCAACAAGATGTAACGAAAGATGATTTTTTTGTTTTTGTTTAACTAAAACAATAAAAAAAAATTCTCAAAAAAAAACGTTAGGATTAATTCAGAAAGTGCACTGAAACAAATCTGGATTCGCCTGCAAGTATATCCTCCAAGGAGACAGAGGCAGCCTTGCTTTCTGGAGGGATGTTTTCAGACATTTATTGGCCACTACATCCTGGAGTAAAGTCTCATGATGACATGATCTTGACAGAACTTTGCCACCTTAGCCTGGGCAGGAGCAAGATGGAAGGCCACTAGGGGATCATCCTTGCCCTGAATTCTATGAAGGAACAATGCTGAGAAAACCCAGTTCGTATTGAGAAGGTGACAGCATCATCTTCGGGATCCAAAACAGAACGTAACTTCAGTTCCTTCCTCTGGATCATGCATGAAATAATTGAAAAGGAGAGTAAGGGATCAGATTTATTTATTACAGAGACCCTATCCTCTGCTTGGAATTCAGTCCACATTTTTTAAACTAGAAGAGCGGGAACAATTCTCGAAAGCAGGCTTTACAGTTATTATGGAGGTTATTTAGTCGTAAGCAGGCATCCTGGTCAAAGGAACATTCCTAAATATGTGTAGAATTGTTTTAAGTGAATTCAGTATCTCAAATTCTGCTCAGTATTATGGAGATGTTGGAGATCAGTCAAAAACCCACTCGTACGTTAAAGGCCACAGACCAGGCAACAATTTTGCTTCCTTCCACGTATTCCATTATTGTGTTTTCCAAAGAAAGTGACAGAGGACAAATGACAATAATGCAAATAAAGTAACATGTGTTCCTTTTGCAAGCATACATTTGATTCCCACCTGTCTCATCTCCCCAGGTGCCACTGCCAAGGAAACATAAGGAAGCATCACCATCAGCTTTTGAGCTACGCTTCGCCCTTTATGTACCAACCAGAAATTGTTCTTAGTTTAAACTCTAGCTTAACTGAACAAGCAAGTATCTAAAACATGAACAATTGTGGTTTGGACAAACCACAATTAAAGCTGACTAAAAGATGCCCAAAAGAGAAATAGCTCTTGCCCTACCTACAAAGCCATAGCAAAACACCAGGTAGAAGACCGGTCTAAGAGTCCAATATTCCTAACACTACAGTAAGCTATGGTTTAAGGCAGGGGTGTAAAACTCAATTTCGTTGTCTGGCGCATCAGGGTTGTGTTTGACGGAGGGGCGTGGCCAGCTCAATGTCACTCATCGAGGCTCTGTTTTCAGCCACGATGGCCTCCTGGAGCCCTCTGCCAGCATGGGCGGCCTTCTTGAGCTCCATTTTTGATGGCAGAAGCACCACGAGCCGGTCCTTCACTGTTTCCAGAGCAGCCCCGCGAGCCAGATCTAAGCACCTTGTGGACCATATCCAGCCTGTGAACTTTTGAGTTTGACACCCCTGGTTTAAGGTATTATCTACATCTTCTCTCTGTATCTATTAGCCACTTCTATATCCCATTCTGGCAGGAGAGAAACCTCAAGTGTTCTGTTTTAAAAATAAATAAATCTGTGATGCCTGATTTTTGTTTCTTTTCACATACCTTTGTGGCTTGAGGTAGTTCCCCCCAGTCCCAATGCATCTGAGGATTATTGTTTGCAACACTTCTTTCCAGAGGCTTACTGATTAATTCAGAATCACTTTTAGGAGTGAGCGGTCGGGAATCCGAAGGGCTGCAGGAAGAACAGGGAAGAATCGGGAAGAGCATGAGATCAAGCAGGCTGCTCAATTTTCCATTCCGAGTGCCAATATTGTATGGGCTTAAGCCTACTAAATCAATTTGGATACAAGTCTTGATCAAGAGGCAACTCAAACTGTTGGCCAGAGGAGGAGATAAAGCGGATGTTAAACTAAAGTGAGATTCAACATTCTGAAGCTAAACAAAGAGAGAATAGTCCCATTCTTCTGTGTGACACAGAAAAGAGAATTCCAAATATTTCCCTTTGGAAGTCAACTGCACACATATGACTGCACCATAGCCACTGAAACATGTAGAAGTGAACAAACTCATTGTGCTTTTCCCTTTTAAGAGATGATTTGCCAAATGGTGTCCAGTACATGTTTTCAAGTAATCAGTGTTATACAAAAATAAATTGTATTAGTTTCAACAGGATGCACGCTTTAAAAAGTTGCCAGTCCTTGCCTCTACCCTCCAGAAAAAAAAACAGAAAGGTTTCTTCTCATTCTTTGACAGAACAAGGTCAACAAAAGAGAATTCTGACTATTACTGTATATGCCCACACAAAGGAAGTCACATATGGGATCTGCAATGTGCAGAAACAGAGACAGTGGCTCCCAAAACAGGAAAAACAGCATATGGGTCCGCATAGCTTGACTTCTATTCTCTAAGCTCAGAATTGCATAGGCAGGTGACTCAAATTTGAAAAACACTGTCGGAATCTTACTGGAACATTCAGAACCCCAAACAGTTTTGTCTCAAGTTTGAAACAGAGATCAAAAGAAACTTTTTTTTTTCAAGTTCAGAATACTACTGGCTTTGTTAAAACAGCCCATTTCAACACCATCCAATCCAGTGGTGGGTTGCTAATCCCGTTCCAACCGGTTCAGTTGGAACGGGGCCAGCGGCGTCCTCGTGCACGCGTGCAGTTCACGCATGCGTCTTAGCGCCTGCGCGATGCTCCAGCTGCTCGCGGAGACTCGCNACAGGTGACTATATTCCACTTTTGTTGACTCAGGAGGCAAATAGCTTTCTCCTCCCCCTCATTAGCTCATTTCTTGGAAAGGCCAGTTAATTTCATTGGTAACAAGCAATTCGGACCCGTTTGGGAAAACCAAATGCTAATTTTACATCTGGCTCATCAAACCAGTAGTTGCAAGGACTGGCTGGCCCCGCCCACCCCTCCCCTCCTAGGAGTCTCCCCGCAGTTCATTTTGGATACCAGGTAATGGCCCGCGCGGAAGCTCTGAGAGGGTGAAAAATGAGCCTCCTGGAAGTTCCGGAACTCCGAAAACGGGCCCGTTTCCAGCCTCTGGATGCCCTCCGGAGCCCAGAGAAAGCTGTTTTCGCCCTCCTGGAGGCTTGAGGAAAGCCTCCGGAGCCTGGGGAGGACAAAAATACCCTCCCACACCATTGTGCAGGAGGCCGAGTAGGCCACGCCCGCCATGGCCAAGCCCACCCAGCAACCAAGCAGAGAACCGGTTGCTTAAAATTTTCAATCCCACCCGATAGAAAAATTGTTGACAATAATGCTTGGTTGCAAAAGGTGCTACATACCCTTTTTTTTGGAGGGAGAATCTGTTTTGCCGGCTGGCTGCATCAAGGACGTTGTGGCTGGTTTCAATTCTTCCCCAGCCAGATGTGGAAGGGCTGCTGCCCCTAAAGTCTCTATATCCGTTTGGGATGTTTCATCCGGGTCTTCCACAACCAAGACAGTCTCATCCTGCCCAAGGTCAGGCAAGGAAGGGAGGTGGTGCATCTCTTCCGTATCAGCGCTCTGGATGACTCGAAAGTGAGTGCTTCCAGAATGATTCACAGCCACTGAGGTGCTGGATTCTTTTGGCTTGTGTGGGATGGCAGTCTGAAAAGGAAAAAGAAAAGGGTTAGTGTTAGGGTTAGGGTTCCTGGGGGAAAAAAAGAACAGAAAGGGACACGAAGCGTGAAAAATGAAAGCAACCTTGTTCCGCTCATATATCATAGAGCAAATCCCTCTTAAAAGTTAGGATTATTAGTTAATTTTTGATGATTATTAAGTAGAGATTTTAGTACTTTATAGACTGTTTTAGATTACCATTGAATGTTTATCCATTAACATAAATTTACTATGATACTAATAGAGAAATAATAACCCTAGCCGAGGTGGCGCAGTGGGAGCCGAGGTGGCGCACTGGTTAGGGTGCAGTACTGCAGGCCACTTC